TCTGGTCTCTTTGTTCTTTCTTTCTTTCTTTTCTTACCTTTCAGGCAGACCTCATTTCTGTTTGTAAAGAATAATGTAGAGCAAACCCCAAAAATTTTGCAATTCTGATCATACAGTAAATGAAAATGTGACTACTTCAAGCTTCCAAATGTCTTTTTATTTCTTTTCTCCTCAGTATTTTGTGGATTAAAAGAAGTTGCTTGGGGCTATTGTCATGTATTACATTTAATATTCATATATCGAGAAAAAATTTTATGTACTACAGCTACTTGTTTAAAAATACTTTAACAATGATTCCTATGACATTCACAGAAATCCTCCCATAAAAGTGTGGGTTATTTGCACCTCTTCTGACTTGTTGGTTTTATTTCAGTATATGGTTATTTCAACATTTTCACAGATGAGAATAAATTTAATGCTCTTCCCATTTATTGTCAGAACCTTGCACTGAACTCGATGAAATAGGACCACTGAGGACAGAAGATAGCTGCAGTCAATCTAAGAATTGCAGGAAATGTTGAAACAAAAATACTTCAGTGCATTGTTTTGTGGATATGTGATTGCACAGACTTCCTTGATGCAGTGCTCAGACTGTCTCACAAGCTGAATATTTTCAGCTTGGTATGCAGGAGTTTAGGTCAAAATAATCCAAAAGTCACAAAATAGTGAAATGTATACCCACACTGTCAGGTATACCTTATAAAAGGCTGATTTAGTAAACACAGCTTCTTCCTAAAGTTTCTGCAGTGCTGGTGTGACCCATGTGCCCTGGTGGTGCATCAATACCTGAACTGGAGAACTGGTCCAGGGGCAGAGAACAGGTGGGGTAACCCTTGGGTCAGGTAAACACCCAGAACATTCCCACTGGCAATCATGGGACAGATATGATGCATTACCTAAGTTTCTGCCGTCACAATTCTTTCTGTAAGCCCCTTTTGTTAATTATTTTTTCAAGAATGCAAATGCTGTTTGAGCAAATGGGATCAGAGAAAAAGGGAGTGTGACCAATTTAATAGCTTTGTACTTTTAGTCTGATATGCCATTGAGGTATATTCTATCAGTTGTGGGTCTGACATTATGGTGCACTGCTTCACTGAATGCCATGGCCTTTCATATCTAAAGAAGCTGTTGCAAGGAAAGTAAGCAGCATCATCTTTTCATTTGTCCCAATTATCTTTTAATTAAAACTCTTCTATTGACTTGACATAAGTGGGGACTTGTGAAGATGTCACTAAAGTGACAAATACATGTGTAAGAAATTTAAGGTGCGTTGTGGTATCTTTGACCATGTCTGATTAAGCAAGTCCTGTTGCTATCATCATTCATCTACAACTGACTTTACCCATAAATCTTGTTTTTAGAATGGACTCTGTCCAAGCACAATGAACAATTAAGTTCCAAGTTTGCAAATGACAATCTGTCCTCTTCTTTTCTGTTGTTCATTTATCATAGTCTTGCTTACGGCCACTGTAATAATTTGAGATGTAAAGTGATGGGGTTTAGACTGCTTGGTATTTATCATTCAGTGTACTGGTAGAACTACAAAGTTAGGTATGATCATATTGTTGTTATATCTCCACTTTATTAATTTTAAAAAGAAAAGGAAATATTAAGGTAATTAAACTGATGTGAATATGTATCACATGTTAAACAATATGAAAATCAGTGATAAAAGACAAAAATTAAATTTAAGATCCTTAAACATCTTGTGTAAGATTTTGCCATTTTAAAGCATGCAGCATAATCCTGGACACAAAAGTAAAGGTTAGAATAAATATGTATGTTAAGGACATTCTAGGTGCTTGACTAGAAGCAAAGTTTTATCAAGGAGTGTTTTGTAAATTCCTAACAAGGTACAGTTGGCGATAGTTTCCATGCCCTTCCTCCCCTCCCCAATTTATTTCATGTAATAGTACAGCAGAACGAGTCCAGACAGACCTCAGTGTTCATGGTCCTTCAGGGTCCTTTGCAAAAGGATGTGCCTTGTATACAATGTTATAATTTTCAAAAGGATAATGAAATCTGCTAGAGTATGACTGCATTCTTTCTGAATTACAGCCATGAAGCATATAAAAGTCAGGTCTCTGAAAAGAGTGGGAAAAATGGGATATTGAAGGAGATTACTTGGTCTTTAAGGGCACAATTTGGCTGTGAACAAATTTTCCAATAGTTTATAAAGCAGAGTTATGCCTGTAATCAATTAGGAAACTTCATACTTAATTCTTGTTCTTCAGCTAATACCAAGGATTATAAAGATTTAAAGAAAGAAATTAATCAAATTTCCACCATGTGTCTCATCTTCAGAACAGTGGATTTCACATGTACATACAAACCTGGAGTACTTCACTCTGCAGCAGATTCTGCTGGTTCAGAACAATCAAATCCCTTTTCATTAATGATAATATGTAGTACTAACTTCTATTTTTGAGTACTTCAAACTAATTTTCTAAGTTCATCTTCAGATGGGTTAAATAGTAATGAAATGCTATAGTGACAGGCTAAGACTTATTCATAGCATTACTCAAGTGTAATAGAGTATTTATTTTGATATTGGGCAACGCACTGTTATTGCCAAGCAATTTGGTAATAAACAGTTGGGTATCAGTCTGCTTGGAATACAATTAAATTTGTGCCTTTCAAGAAGGCTGTGCTGGTGGCTATTGCTGATTTAGATAACTAAAACTAGAATTCTGCTGTATTAAGTAATGGTTTTGTTTTGCTGGATTCATCATATTAAAATGTGATATAAAACTAAGTGACATGAACTTTGGCAATGATAGTTAGGATATCATAAAGCTATGCTAGCTCTGTGCCTTCACTCTCTGCTTCTCTTTCATCAAAAGTATTATTGATCATTAATGCCAAAATGAAAAATAAGTGGTAGCAACTCATATAAGAAAACATTTGGATGGCAGTTGTTCTACATTAGGTGTAGTTAATGGTCATGTTTACAACCACAAATGTAATATTTACATGCATTGAAATGACAGAATTGATTAAATGGGATAAGGGAAGAGTGTACCAGAAGCTGCAGAGCATTGTTTTTTTGTACATTTGATTGATGTTGGTGGGGCATGTTCTGGATCTCCAGAATATTAGTAAGAAGATGAAATAAAATCACAACTAGGCAAGCAGTTCATTACTTGTCTTGAGGAAAAAGAAAAAAGCAAGAAAGAATAGTAGCGAATGAAATAATCAAATTTGCAGCCCTGTATAAGCGTAGATTGACATAGAAGGAAAATCATAGGTTATGATTAACATTAATAACACTTACATTGCTAAAGCAGTTGGCAGATATCAGCCAGAGATTCATTTAGAAACATTGCTTGTAGCTACTGAGAATGGTATTCAGCATCAAATACTTTGTATTAGAAATTTTCCCTGTCAAGCAAATGAAATGAGTTTAGCTTGCAGGAAAACATAAAGTGACAGAACAAAAGAAATGGAATGCAATTTGGGGTCCCAGAGATATGAAGAGCTTCTATTAAAGACTGTCTGTAACATCTGTCTACAAGTGTGAGATTTTTTTTCTTGTTTTACTGTTGTTCTTTTTTTTTTTTTTTTTGCAGTAATGTAGGTGTATGGATTGCCCTCTTTTTCTTAATAATACTAAAAGAAAAAAAATAGCAAAAAAATCCCTAAAATCCTGTCCTCCCAGGTGGCACTTGAGGAACAAAATCTCAGTATTGTTATTCAATGGGCAGTTGTTGATGTCTTTCCTTCTCTTTTATCCTGTTCAATTTATATTTTCTACCATTTTTGCCTTGTTCTGTGTGTGTGAAAAAGTTCAGTATTTCTGCTGTTCTGTGTTATTGGTAGGTTCCTTTCATTCCAGAATCTGACATTTGAACTTCCTAGGAAAAAGAGGGATATTCTTTCTCTATGCTTTATAAGCAATCTTTGCTGTTGCAGAGACAACTTTAACCACTCAGCTCTTGGTTGTGGATCTCTGGTGCCAGAAGTTGTTCCACCATGCCATGGGTCAATCTGACCCAATCATGGGCTCCTTTCCTGAGCCATTCCCATGGGTGTGCAGGACAGCACAGCCCTCCTGGAGGCACTGCTCGGCAGCGACAGAGCACAGGTGCTGCTGGCACACAGGCTCCTCAACGTTGGGAGATTTAGGAGATTCTCCCTACTCAAAGGAATTTATCAGTGGGTTCTCCAGACAGCATCTCCTCTTTCACAGTAGTGAGTAAACCTAGAAACTCAACCCTGAAGTTTTCCCAACATTTGAGTTAGATTATTCAGAGTTGAACACTGATTTAGACTTAAAATGATTCAGGAATTGCTGAAGTATTGAAATATCTTTCTTGCTTCCAAACTCTAAATTGTGAGGCATTTACTGTTTTAATATTCACCTATCTTAGCAGCTTTTAAAATTATTATTGTACTTTAGTGAAGAAAGGCATGCATAAGGCTATGTACTTTATTATATCAGCCATCATACAGCATGTAGGCTTGTGAGTGTTCCTGTGTAAAAATAATCTCCTGTATTATCAGAAGTGCAGGTATAAAAAACAAAACTGCCTTGTACTGTAAAATATTCAGGAGTGTGTGTAAAGAATAAAAAAGCTTGGCTTTCAATTGGTGCTCTTAATGCTTGGCTATGGACAATTTGTTTCACCATCAAATCAGTTTGAATGCACTTATAGAGAACATTACTGTATTAATTTAAAAACATTTATGATTTCATGAAGGAAGTCCTGCTATTGACCCTTATGGAAGGGAAACGTAAGTTGGATTTGAGGGCCTTGAAAAAGTAAATCAAAACAAAGTTTTAAGCTAGTCATTAAAAGTGAAAACATCAAGCAGCATTAAAATTCTTTTTTAACTTTCTTTTGCATTTCAGGGTAGGCACACTGATGAAGACAGTGTATTCTATAGAGGATACAATGGGTAGAACTGTCAAATATTAACTCCTTTTCAACAGCAAAAAACATCAATTGAAATTTCTTTCTAACACCCTTATTGACATTCCTTTTACTTTTTTTTCACAGAGGATCTTTCTCAAAGCTGGAAGTGAGGAAGAAATCTTTGCACATCTTGGCTTGGATTATGTTGAACCATGGGAAAGGAATGCTTAAAATTATTTTCCAGTGTACATTCATCAGTTGACTGCAATGGTATTTCTGCCCACCTTGCAGTCTGATATAGTTATATATACATATCTATATAATAAGTATTTCTATGACAACAAAAAAATTTACATAAGTATTAGAAGCCACTTGCACTTGCTAATGTTCCTAGAAGATAAGAGTTTAAGTTTTTCAGAATCTTTCCCAGTCCTTTCTAGTTTTGAAGCTTCTATGTGGGAATGATAAGACAGAGCTTGCTTTGGGGGGAAAACTTGGAACTGGTGAGATTTTTGCTTATGGTAGGAATTTAACATTAGTATGAACAATACTTGTTTTTTAAGTAGTCAGCTACAACAATATGTAAATAATTCAAAACATTTGAGCTGAGTCAAAACTTTACTGAAATGTATGCTGGTCTTTAACTGAATTTCTTATGTATTTTGCTGAATCCATGTATAAAATTGCTCTGTGTATAAGGCTAAATGACCTAGGCAGTAACTACTTTGCAGTCTCAGCAACTTTAGGCTTCAGCTGTAATATTTTTGCAGGTAGGGCACCATTCTACAAAAACTATAAACAAGTTGATAATTCAGTGAGGGTTAAAAAACATTTCACAGGAAGGGATTTTGAAAGGGAAAGTGGAATCACTCAGTAGCAATCTTCAATTGTGTAGAAAAATACTATAAATTTATAGTACTGATTTTGACTGAAGAGGAGTCAGGTTGTGAGATGTAATGATCCTCAATCAGGAATTGGAATCATAACCTGCATGAAAACAATGGTTTTAAGTGTCAGGCTGGTGACTGCTCCAAGACAAAAAATTTTAATCATCTGTGCTCAGTTTAGATAGATGGAACTTTATTTACTAGTAAGTGTGAGCTGTTGGGCTATTGACTGCTCTAGAGTGGTATTCCCTGTCTTTAGTCAGAAATTCATATTGGATGTGAGAAGCTTTCTGATAAAATCCCTACAAGATATTTTGGTTGCAGAAAATGTCTAGGTAGCTCTTGTGACCATAATGACAATGAAGGAGTCCTAATACATTTATCCTTTAATAAACAGGGGCATTCAGTGCTTTAGGAAATGAAGCTATTTACTGATCATTCATCTTTTGAGAATAAAGGTGATTAAGAGCACCAGCATTGGTCAATTAATTTTCTTCTTAAAAATCTGGATTTTTTTTCCCTCTGTTGAGGCTGACTTCAGCTCTTGACATGATGAGGAAAGAATGGCAATGACAGGGCTGTGCACAACAGTTATTACTGACAGTAAAGGCTTCCAATATTCAAACAGTGTCTGGTACTTTAACAAGTATGCTTATTTTGTTACTCATTACTTTAAACTGGGTAACAGACTTTTAGAGGACTGTGTTGTAAACTATTCCAAAACCTCAGTCAGGGTTGTAGAAAAATGTGTTGATGGCAGGAATTTGCTTCTTGCCTGTGTCAATAAAACCACCCCATTTAAGTTGCAGTTTTGCTAACTGAGCTGAAAATACAATGCTACTTCCTAAACTGCTCTAGCTATGAAGCACTTGCATTGCTTCCTGCTTTATTGTGCTGATGTTTGAAGTAGCTTCTCTGTGTTTTGCATCAGAATGCTGACACTTAAGTAGCAGTGACATTTTTCAGTCCTAATCAAAGAAAAAAAAAAGCTATGGTACCTTGTCTGAATATTCTTTCCACTTGGCTAACATTTATAACAAATTATCCATTCCAGTTGTGCTGTTTCTGCAAACTTGAAGACACAGACAAAGTATCAAAAATTCTGAATTCCACATTTATTATTTATAAATAAATAATTCACATCTTGGGTGCCTATGCATCACTTATAATTATGCCACCTGTGAGGAAAAAGATACCAACACAAGTTCTGTCAGCTCCTCCAAGACTAGAAGAAATCAGCATATCACTTTATTCTTTTACTTCCATCAGTTTTTCTGAAGTTTATTTAGAATACATCGTACAGATTGCTCACTGAATTAACTATTTAAAAAAAAAAATGGACCTGATAAATGAGGGGTTGTGTTAAAGAGAGGAACAGCTTAGATGACCAGGATGGTTTGACCATGAAGAAGATGCCTTCTCTTGTGCACACCCTCACTGGAGCAGCTGCTACCCCAAATAGCATTGCAGGTACCGTGTGCAGGACCATCCCTGACAGCAGCTGCCAAACCAGTCAGCTGAGACTGCAATTAGAAAAGATAAAAATCATAGAGGAGAGCTGGGAGGGAGCAGGTTAAAGGAAATGAAGCCTTTATCAGCTGAGCATGTCTGTATCCATGTGCTAGTGAAAAGTCCCTCCAGTGTGATGGAACTGTTGGAGTCAGTGCTAGCAAAGCTTCTGAGCTCATGAAGGACCAGTGGGGCCTCAGGGCCTGGAAAGGGCAAACTCTTGTAACAAGAACAGACCAACATTTGTAATAGGAGGAAGGGAAGAGAGCATTTCCGATCAGTGCACTTAATATCTCCTAAATTGTTCAAATGATTAATAGACTGTATTTTTAATGCACCTAGAGGAAAATAAAGTGCTAAGTTATTGGTAACTTGGTCATCAGAAACAAATCATGTCAAACTAATTCACTTGTAAAGTCCCTGGAGGCTGTTTTTTTAAAATGTCTGTCCCTCCTCCCTTGCTTCTGCACCAAGGCAATTTGGCAAATAGTGAGTAGAGAAGGATCACTGGTTTAATGAGCATCTACAAACTAATGCTCTAAAAATTACTAAGTAATTCCATCTCTGGGAAAAAGAAGGAAAAGGAAAGCCAGTGTTATTTTTTTTTCATGGTTTGAAGTAATATATGATTTGTTTAATAATCTCTTAAGGCAAAAGCAATGAGATGTATTTAGTTTGGTGGGTAATCATGTAGTTAATGTCTAAAGGACTAATGTATTGAAGGAAAAGCTAATTCTATCTACACAGCTCTACAAAATTGCAAATCTGGGCAACCTAAACACTCATACAACTGAAGCAACATGGATTTTCTGCAAATAACTGGAAACCTGAGAACTGCTGCTACTTTGCATAAATAACTCCAGAACGTTAAAAACCCAAACCCAAATATTTGCAAATGTTATAATCCTCAAATTAAATGTCTTTTCTACAGTTTATGGGCAGATTTTTTTGGCTTTCTCAGGTGAGACCATCCTATTCCTTGGTATGAAATACATTATTTCACTTTTTGAACAGCTGTTACTTTCTGTTTTACAGTTTTCTTTGGCAACTGCAGTTAAAATGACCAGGTCCTGGGTCTAACAGGTTAGTTAGTGTCACATAAACAAATGAAGACAGAGAGCTCTTAGAAAGCTGTTTAATGTCTCCTTCAATAAATGTGTACTATAGGCAACCCATAAAATCTAATACTATTTTTCAGTGGGTGCCTCCAAACAAATACTATTCCCAAATAGTACTGGTGGTACAGAAACTCCACATGTGGGGGGGTGATGCTGGACTGCACATCCCAAAAGCCCAGGTGCCTCAGGGAAATCACTTGGCTGATGAGAATCAATCCTATCTGTGCATGGTGACTGACCATGGGGAGAGAAGGAGAGAGAACATGTGTAGGGTAAGTACAAAATCTCCCAGTTTTCTGTGTTTTAGTACATGAACACACTTACTGAAAACCAAGCTACTTTTTTATGGTTGCAGACATTTGATTCCAGTTCCTTCATGACTATGCAGCAAAAAAAAAAAAAATACTAAATGGTATATTTCCTTTTGTGTTTCATTCTTGCCAAAATCAACATGCTCATTGAAAGGGATTTTTGGAAATGGCAAGGCTCCCTAGACCCTTTCCCACCATTATGAGGTTTTAAGTGAACAATATTTATATAAAAATAACTCAGATGCATTTTTTATCCAATAAATAAAGCCTTTTTAGCAGGATTGCATAATTTCATGTGTTTGCTGCTATATATACACATACTATGTCCAAATTATTTTAAGTTTTCTACGAGCTTCAGGGTCTTTTCCTCTTAAGGAAGCTATGCATAAAGATATAATAGATAATAGCAAGAAAGAACTCTATTTTATTTGATGATTTCTCTGCTGGGGAAGTGCAGATTATATTCCAGAAATTTGTGGTTGCAACATTTAGGGGAAAAAAAGCAAATAATAAAAAATAATATCCCAGCACTTCAAAAATAAAATAATGGTCTTTGTATTTTTCTAACCAGTAAAAGAGAAATGATTTGGAATTTTCTTCACAGCTGGGTAGATCTAACTTCAGAAATGGAGCTTGAGGAGGTTATGTAATTGTGTGACTGGGTAGGAGTGTTTCTGCAGTGGGAAACTGTTGCTGATGATACAAGTCTGAAACTGTTCCATTTTTAGTAGCCTAAGGATGGGGCTGAAAGACCACTTGGGCCTGTGGCTTCCATGAGTGTACTCTATAAATCCCACACTTCAACATGTAATGGTGGGGAAATTTTGCCTTTTCACTCCACTGACACGCGTAAGATCAAGAGATGTTGAGAGGAGAGCTGGGATCTGCTGCTTCTGGTGACCCTGAAATCCTTTGGTTCTGCTGTAAACTGTGTTATGATACATGAACTGCGTTTCTGTGTTTTAAACTAAACTATCAGAGACTTAATTCTCTGCCTTTTGTCCTTTTACAGTATGCTTTAAAATGTGCTAAAGACTGTAAATTATACTTTGTGTTGGCGTTGTACGAGTGGGAAGTGGTTGTTTTGGAAACCCTGACAGACTGGTTGCAGGGCTGGAGCTGTTGCAGGGCTCTTGACAAATGATTGATGATTTAATTTGAATCCTTCACAATACCAACACTAAAAAAGAAGCCAAATACCATAAATATCAGGGTCCTTTCAGACTGGTTATCACAATCACAGAAGGAATCTGTGCGTTTTTCTCCCATTAATCTCACCCCTTATCCCCAGTTAGATTTGATTTCATGGGGAGACAAGGACACACATCTGAAGGAGTCCACTGTCAACCACAGAACAAGTGCTCTCCTCCTCCCTGCTGAGAAGGTTCACAACCCCTTTTTTTACT